TCTCATATACTTCTTTGAAGATATGAACTTCAACTTTGAAAGTTTTGCTTAACTTGACACTTAAGTCTTAAAACAAAGTTAAAACGTTTTGTGAATGACTTTTTGAAAACTTTAAGAGCTTATATTGACTTAACTCCTAACTTCTTGACTTGACTCTTAACTTTCCTTGAATTAAATTATAGATTCAAGGATTTGTGATTTGTGATAGGAATGATCTCATGATGTTTAGGAACGATTTAGATAACTAAACATGTGGAAAAATCAAAAATTAATATATGAGGGTGGGTCCACGGCATGGAGAATCATTTAAATTTTGGTTTCAAAAATAAATTTTGAGGCAAAATGGTTTGTGACCGCTCCGCGACGTGAAACAATTTTTCCCAATTGGAAACTAGATAGCGATGCATAGGCACTACCAAATTTATACCGACGAAATTTCTTATTCATTGTCCTGCTCTAAACCCTCTGAACTCATGTGTTCTTTATCCGACTACTTAAAATCAATTAAATGTTCAAAGTACATCAGATTCTACTCAAAATTAAACCTAAAATCATGAGTTCGAACAAACAACTCCTCAACAGTTTCAATAAATTAAGAATTTAACAGAATTTCAACAAACTCATCAAGAACTCAATTTCTAAGCTTTCAAGAACTTAAATTCATTGGAATAAATCATGATTGGCGCGTGGGTGAGATAACCCAATGCTATGTGACCTCTCATACCTTGTAGGAATCAACCCGACGAAATCCACAAGCTAAACTCGACGATCTTGACGAATCTTGAACTTTCTTCTCCTTTATCCTCTTCTTTTCTCTTCTCTAAAAATCCTAACTCTTTTTTTCAAAAGCGTAAACTAAGTTTAGTTTACACCCTTTATGAATTACCAAAAATGTATTGAAATAAAAGGGTAAGGGAAATACAAAACTACCCTTCAAAAATCTAGATTGGATTTTGCTTATACCAACGACCCAACTTCCGAAGGGCATAATTCACTCATACAAACTCAGAATCGCGCAAATTCACCGACATTGAAAAGATCATTCCAGAGATTTTCTAACATATCTGGAAGTGCTAATAACTCATTCTAAGCTAGAAGTTATGGTCGTTTAAAGTTTATTAAAAGCTCAATTTTTCCTAACTTAAGTAATTTCCAGATTTTAATTATTTCTAAAAATGACTATTCTAGTTAGGGGTGTCAAAAATGAACCCAAACATATGTAACTCGCTCAACCCGCATAGAAATTTAAAGGTCAGGCTCAATATAATGTGAATTGGGTTTAATTTCAACCCATTCAAGTTTCACCCATTTGAAAGGAATTCTCAATTGAGCCTAGTTCAATCTTCAATTTCAACCCGTTTTAAGTTTTTTTATCAGGGTATGTTCCTATATTAAAGGTATGAATTATTATCTATATAACATCTTTTAGGATCTATCCATTTGTTACTTTTTTAACAAAAAATTCTTGAGTGAAAATTCAAATTGTGATTATAAAAGTTAATTATCAATATGTTAAATTATTGAAATTGATCCAGTTAAATTGGACGGGTCAAGACCCAACCCGTTTTTAGCCCATTTGAGCCTGAAGTAAACTTGGGTGGGTCAAGACCCAACCAATTTCTATTCAACCCATTATAATATTTTCAATTTCAAACCAACCCGGCCATTTGACACTCCTAATTCCAGTTCTTAGCTTTTTCTTAGCTATTTCAAAATACGAGATATTACAATATATTTACCTTAAGAACAGTACTCCTCGAATGAGATTACTCTTGCTAGGTGAAGGGTGTAATATGTAACCATTCGTTTCAAATACCCAACAAGCAATGTAAATACAACATGCCAACTCATAATTGAAGTGCACTAGAAGAAAATTAATACCTTAACTAGAATTTTTCTGGATTCGAAGAGATGTAGATATATCTTCTTCATATCCTCCCCAGTTTCCCAAGTAGCTTCCTCAACGAATTGATTCCTCTAAGAACTTTGACTGACCTACCTTTTTTGTCCTTAACTTGCGAACATGATAATCTAGAATTTGAACCAAAATATCTTCATAAGATAAGTTATCCTTGATCCCAATATTTTCAGTAGGTATAATCAATAAAGGATCACCCATACACTTCTTCAACATGGAGACATGAAATACCGAATAAACCGCTGCTAAGTCTTGTGGTATCTAATTCATAAGCTACATTGTCAATCCTCTTAGCTATTCGATAAGGGACGATATACCGGGGACTAAGTTTCCCCTTCTTACTAAACTTCATAACGCCCTTCATTGTGAAACTTTTAAGTATACTCAATCATTAAATTCAAACTCTAACTCTCTTCTCCTAACATCATGTAGGAATTATGAAGAATTTGTGTCATTTTTAACCTCTCTTGAATCACTTTCATCTTCTCAGTAGCTTGACGAACTAAATCTAGTCGTATATACCCAACTTCACCAACTTCAAGCCGTCTAATAGGAGATCTGCATCTTCTCACGTAAAGAGCTTCATAAGGAGCGATTTGGATGCTCAAGTAGTAACTATTATTGTAAGTGAATTCAATAAGGGGTAGTTGATCATCCCAGTTACCTTTGAAATCGATCATGCACACCCTCAACATATCATCCAAGTCTGAACAGTGCACTCTGTTTGCCCATATGTCTGAGGATGAAAAGCGGTACTTAAGTTCACTTTTGAGCAGAAGCTTTTCTGAAAAAGAGTTCTAGAACTGTGCAGTAAATTGTGCACCCCTATCGGAAATAATGGAGACTATGACTCCATGAAGTATTATCGTCTTCTGAATATATAACCAGGCATAATATTTTGTTGAATGGGTCGTGTTTATCGACAGAAAATGGGATGATATTGTCATTTTATCGACAATCACTGAAATAAAATCATATTGCCTATGAGAACATGGAAAACCTATGATGAAATCCATATTAATCATCTCCCACTTTCATTCCAAAAGTCTATATTCTAAGTCAAACCACTGGGACTTTGGTGCTTACTTTAACTTGTTGGCAATTTGGACACTTAGCAACAGATTCTGCAGTTCCCTTTTTCATACTATTCCACCAATATACTTCTCTCAAATCATGATACATCTTTGTGGAACTCGAATGAATGGAATACCTGGAGATATGGGCTTCCTCTATGATCCTTTTTTGGAGTCTATCCACCATTGGTACACACAATCTACCTTGATACCTCAATACATCATCTCCCTTTTGTTCAAAAGTTAATACTCTTGCTTATGAACATTTGTCTTCAATTCAAGAAAAAAGTGGGGTCTTGGTCTTGCTTCTCTTTTATATCTAACACTAATGATGATTCATCCCCATTTATCACCACTAGTTATCCTTCTGTGGAATCCATTAGTCGGACTCTCAAGCGTGAAAGTTTATGCACATGTTTCGCTAACTCTCTCTTTTCTTCCTCAACATGCGCAGTTCTACCCATAGACAACCTGCTTAAATCATCAACAACCACATTAGCCTTACCTGGGTGGTAAAGAATACTCATGTCTAACCACCTCTTTTATCTGATATTAACCTCTTCCGAGTAAATACATATTGAAAGATCTTGTGATCGCTGAACACATCTACATGCACACCATAAAGATAATGGCGTCGCATTTTCAAAGCAGAAAGTATGGTAGCCAACTCTAGATCATGGGTTGGGTAGTTCCTCTCATAAACTTTCAACTGTTTGAATGCATAAACTATGACTTTATCATTTTGCATTGATACACAACCCAAATCAACTCTAGACGCATCACAATAGACAACAAAGCCTTGTGTGCCTTTTGGTCAGGTCAAAACTAAGGTAGTAGTCAACTTCTTTTTCAATTCCTGAAGTTTTTGTCACAAGCTTCAGACCATTGAAACTTCACAATTTTTTTATTTAAATTAGTCAAAGGGGATGAAATAGACGATTATCCCTTTACAAACCTTCAATAGTATCCAGCCAAACCCAAGAAAATCCTAATACAAGTTGGAGATGTGGGTCTAGGTCAAATCTACATTGTCTGTATCTTTTGGGTATCAACTCTAATTCTATCACGAAAAACTATGTGGCCCAAGAACGCCACATACTCAAGCCAAAAATAACATTTAGAGAACTTAACATATAACTCCTTATATTTAAAAGTTTGAAAAACTATTCTGAGATGACTAGCATGATCTTCTTCATTCCTTGAATAGAATAGTATGTCGTAAATGAAGACGATAACTAACTTATATAAATAAGGTTTGAAACTCTATTCATGATGTCTATGAATGTTGCAGGTGTATCATTCAAACAAAAGGATATGACCGAAAACTTATAATGACCATATCATCTTCTGAAAGTTGTATTTGGAATATCACATACCTCACTCTTAATTGATGGTAGCCAGACTTGAGGTCAATTTTCAAAAAATAGGTGGCACCCTGAAGTTAATCAAAAATATTATCAATTCTTGGAGGATGATATTTTTTCTTGATGGTATCCTTGTTCAACTGACGGTAATCTATACACATTCTAAGTGGACCATCCTTCTTTCTCACAAATAAGACCGGAGCGCCCAAGGTGAGATACTTGATCGAATAAAACCCTTATCTAAGAGATCTTTCAACTGCTTTTTCAACTCTTTCAACTCTGATGGTGCCATTTTATATGACGGAATAGATATAGGAAGAGTATCTAGGAGGACATCTATATCAAAATCTCTCTCTCTCTCTGAAAAGGGACTCCTACTAGATCTTGGACTAAGTGATAGACGCACCCCTTATAAACAAACTTTCTTTCCTTAAGGTACAAAATAAAACGATCTCGGGCACTGCATAAATATTTTTCCACTCTGAGACTAACTCATTTGGAAAATGAAACTTGACAAATCGAGTTCTACTATTAACGGAGGCATAACAGGCATGAAGGTCCATACCAAGAATGACATCAAAATGTACCATGTCTAACTCAATTAAATCGACCATGGTACTTTTGTGATTGACAGAAATAGGACAATCACGATAGAGTATCTGCTAGAATATACTCACCAACAGGTGTAGAAACATTAAATGACTCATTAAGTTGCTCAGGAATAACATCAACATTCATAGCAACATATGGAGTTACAAAATATAAACTCGCTTCTGGATCTAGCAAAGCATAAATAGTAAGGTCAAAGACTTGGATCATACCAGTAACAGTATCTGGAGAATCCTCTTGGCGACTGTTGATAACATATAAGTGGTTTGTTCCTCCACCATTACTAGAAGTAGTACCTCTAGGTGCAGCTCTGTTTAATGGAGCAACTGAAGAAGACTGGGTTGTATTGCCCCCATTACCATATCCCTTCTTGTTCTTTGGACACTTTCGCATGAAATTTCCATTTTGAACACACTTGAAACAACTAGTGGAGCCCTTACGATAAGTACCTGAATGGTTCCTACCACACTTGGAGCATGCAGGAGGTTTACCACCCCCTTGTGCTATGCTCCCCTGAGAATAAGCAGGTTAAGTTCATATTAGTGTACTCACCTTTGTTCTTAGGTGTTGGTGCAGTTGAAGATGATGGAGCAAGTCCCTTCTGTTTCTTCAGGAAAAATGACCAGTTGGCATTACTATTCTATTATAAAGACTCGTTTCCTTATTTTAGCTCTCTTGTTCTTAAACTCTTCCCTATCTATTAGCTTCTCTTCCTCAACCTGTTGCATATAGACCATCAACCTTGAGATATCCATGTCAACTATCAGCATTGTAGCCCTTCCTTCCTTGCTCTACATACGAGATAACCCAACTACAAATAATTTCATTCTACTCATTATGTCAGCAATTATCTCCAGAGCATAACAGGATAGTTGGGTGAAATTCAGTTCGTACTCATGAACACTCATAGAATCTTGCTTCAATGTGAAGAACTCTCGTACCTTAGCCTCTTTCAGTTCTCAGTGAAAGAAACATCCCAAGAAAGACTCCTCAAAACAAGCCCAACTTGCAGGTGGTGTATCCTCATCTCTACTTTCTTTCCACTGATCAACCAATTCCTAGAAACACTCTTCAATTGATATGTAACTAGTTCAACTCGTCTGTATCAGCAACATGCATAACCTCAAATACCTTTTTCAGTTCCTTAATGAAATTCTCCTAATCTTATGTAGTGCTCGAACCTGTGAAACTTGGAGGGTTCATTCTCAAGAACTCGTGGATCCTTGAAATGTCAACTACTTCTTATCGATTACCTGTCTGCTGCTCATCTTGATTGGTCACAACTTGGCTCAACATCCTAATAGCCTAACAGAATTTAGCATTGGTGACCTCTCCTTGGGATTGCACTTCGGATGCATTGGGTACCCCTTGTTCATGTGATTCAATATTCTATAAGATGGACGACCTTTGACTGCTCTTCGTGGAGGCATGATTATCTGAAAACACGTGCAAACACGAATAAGATGGAAACATTTTAGAGATTAAACACTAACGCACGAAATGAGTGTTGGAAGTGATAAAATTTTCTAATTCTTGCAGTCTCCTAATTATAGATGTGGCGTGCTTCACATCGATAACTAGGACACTATAGACACAACTTCATAGAGTATCAAGATTGTCACACCGAGCCTATACCCTGGGCGAGACTGACACTCAAGAACCATTGATGGCTCCAAGCGAACCCTTGTCCTGTCTTACTTACTAAGAGTAAGACTATATGCATATTTATTATGATCAAAAGAACTATACTCACTTGAATAATAAAATACTGAGAATGCTTAAGTAGTCAAACAATCAACATGGTCAAAATGGCAACTCAATTCTTAACATAAGATCATGAAAATGAAAAGACTAAAGAACTAACATCTGACTGTCTATGAAGCCTCTAAAACAACTGAGATGGATGTCGGGACGGGACTCCTACCATCCTAACAAATGAAATACTGAAAAGAACTGAAAGAAATAAACGGAGTCCTCTAAAACGCAAGGAGGCTCACCTAGAGAATGTGGGGTGCTCACTGGATCAACGATGCGCTGGATGCCGATCCTAGTTACCTGCGTCTACATCATAATACGATGCAGGCATACTGACATAAGTAAATTGAATGTACGAGTATGTGAGTTTGAATGTTGAACACAACATAGGCTTTAAAGAGTCTTAAGAACTTACCTGGCTTAAACGAACTCAACATAACTGAAAACATTTCAATATAAAGCAATTTAAAACAAATGCAATATAAAAACAAAGTTGTTTAAAACATGATGTCAACTCTGTATGTATGCAAAGATACAAGATAACTCTATGATGTATGTAAAAATAAAAATAAATTGTGTATATAAGAATATAATTACTTCTGTGATAGTTTCTCTAACCGACAACCATCACTTAAGAGCTATAGTGATGATACAATGTTTTGTCTCACGCTGCCTGGGTCATCTTATACCTTGCCATGATTATAGAACCTAAACTACTAAATGGATCCACTTGTCTATGCTAAAAAGAACTAAAGGAATCATCTAAAAAGTATGACCATTTTCTTTCAAATGATGGCTACATGGTATATGTAGGATGTGAGTTGTCTGAACTCTTCCTCATATCGGTGATGAATACTACTCTCAAAAATATTATATTAGACCTCATGTTTTAAAAACATACTTCTTTCTGTGATTTGAGATTAGTGCTCAAAAACATAGATCAAAGTCTACCTTGAAAATCAAAGTTTCTCCTCTTGCTTTATTATGAAAGCATATACTCTTTTCTAAAAACTATCTTAAAGGCGCTATGAAAATCTCAGTTTCCGTTCTTATTTAAATGTGAAACATTTTAAAAATTTTGGAAATAGTTAGTTCTCATATACTTCTCTGAAGGAATGAATTTCAACTTTGAACTCTTTGTTTAACTTGAAACTTAAGTCTTAAAACAAAGTTAAAACATTTGTGAAAGACTTTTTGAAAACTACAAGAACTTATCTTGACGTAACTCTTGATTCCTTGACTTAACTCTAAACTTCTTGACTTAACTTTTAACTTTTCTAGAATTGAATTATGGATTAAAAAATTTGTGAGGGTGAATTCATGATGCGGATAATCATTTAAATTTTGGTTTTGGGTTTAAATTTTGAGGCGAAACGGTTCGTGACCGCTCCACGAATCAATTTTTCCAAATTTGGGAACTAGCTCTGGCGATGCTGAGGCACTGCTAAATTTCGACTGACGAATTTGATCCTCCGTTTTCAAGCTCTATAAACCCTCTAAAATCCATGTGTTATTTCTCCAAACACTTAGAATCGATTATATGTTCAAAGTACATCAGATTCTACTCAAAATCAAACCTAAAATCATGGGTTCAGACAAACAAATCGTCAACAATTTCAACGAATCAAGAATTTAATAGAAGTTCAACAAACCCATCAAGAACTTAATTTCTAAGATTTCAAGAACTTAAATTCGCTGAAATAAATCATGATTAGCACGTGGGTGAACTACCTCAACGCTATGTCATCTCACATACCTTATAGGGATCACCTCGATAAAATCCACAAGCTAAACTCGACGATTTTGACGAATCTTGAACGTTCTTCTCCTTTCTCTTCTTTGCTCTTCTCTAAAAATCGTAAATCTTTTTCCAAAAGCGTAAGCTTACTAAGTTCACTTTATACCCTTAACTAATTACCAAAAACGAATTTAAAAAAACAGTAAGGAAAAGACCAAACTACCCTTCAAAAATTCATATTGGACTTTTCTTATTCCAACATCCCAACCTCCAAAGGTCATAACTGACTCATACAAATTCAAAATTGTGCAAACTAAGCGACGTTGGAAAGATTATTCCAAGAGCTTTCCTACCATATCTTGGAGTACTCCTAACTCTTCTTGAGCTAGAAGTTATGATCATTTGAAGTTCACCAAAAACTCATTTTTTCCTAACTTAAGTAATTTTCAGATTTTAATTCTTTCCAAAAATGATTATTTTCAGTTCTTAGCTTCTTCCTAACTATTTCAAATTTCAAGATGTTACAGTATATTCTAGTGGAGCGAAGTGCTTGAAACTCTAGAAATCAAGCTACTGAAGTGGATTATCAACATTCGTTGTTCTTCTCACCATACGATGAGAGTGAAATTAAAATCATCTCATTTATCCTGTCTGGTTTAGGTCTATGAGAGTTTCTTAATTAAGGAGAAACAAAATCAGGAATAATAAATGGTACATGCAAGAAAGAAAGCTTCTCATAAAGTCTTTATACTCTATGAAGAAGGGTAAATACTATTGTGCTTTCTTCGATTATGAATTCAGTTTTCAAAAGTCGTATAAGTTGTACAATGTATTTTAATTGTGCTCAAATGGTGTAGGAAGACTTGCTTGTAAGGTTTAGTAAAACTGATTTGTAAAGAATCTTCTACTTACGTAAAGAAATTGATACTCTAACTTATGGGACTGCATCTGTTTCAGTTTATTTCTCAAAACTAAAGAATCTTTGGAAAAACGTTGTCATAGCAGTGATTTAATTTTAAAAAGGAAAAACCAAATTTAGCTAAAATGTTGGGGCGTCAATATTCTTAAAAAAAGATGAGGGGGGGATGGACAAAATCGCTGGTGGATCAGCGATTTAAATATTTTTTTAACAGAGTAATGGCATCAATATTTGTCAGAAGAGAATCACTCCGTCAAGATTGATTATTCCCTTTTGGTTAAAAAATATTTGATGTGCCCTTTTGAAACTTTGATAATTTTTTTTGTCCTTTAGACTCTAGACTCGAAAAATAATCTATGTATTAGCTTTGTGTAAAGTATAGTATCTTGTTTAGTACATTGTTTAGCCTATAAACACTCTACTGTGTATTAAGGCATGTATTACTAATACCATATATTTTCATGTATCGGTAATGTAAAGGTTTTAATGCATGCATTAGCATATGATTAAGGAAAGACTCAATTGTCCCTCAAAATCATTTTTACATCTTTTCAACCATATTTGTGGTTTGAGAATATCTTTGTAAATAAGTATTTTAAAAAAATATATATATATTTTTAATATACCAAACCAAATAATGCATAATAAATTATTTCTTCATAATTAATGCAAGTATAATCAATACAAGCATTACTAATACACTCTACTACTCTCAACATGTTGTAACAACGATAGAAAACTCCACATACCAGAAAAGAAATCTACCTTATTCCTAGAACAGAATATATACATTAGTACAACGGGAGGCTCGAGAGAGACTTCAGTTACATCTTAACCTAAATGAGACGATCAAGAAAGTCCTCCCCTAAAAAAATATATTCTTAATACACCCTATCAAACCAAAAGACAACTTTATTAGTTTGAAAGAGACCATTCAGTAAGTCTCTTTTGGCTTAGATCATTTGTTCAACAACAAGTGTGGTTCCCATTTAAAAAGGTTGTTACAACTAATGAAGTAGGCCAGTTGGTTACAAAGTATTTAGAAACAACTTAAGAGAAGGCCTGGTTGGGTGGAGATATTAGTACTTTGGAAACAGCTCGGTTTTGATATTTGCCAACCAACACTGAATCAAGACATCCACAGATCTGAAATGGTTTAAAACCAAGAAAAAAAATGCAAGTCCAAGTCAACTATTGATTGTCCATGTAGCTCCAACTAAAACTCAGTTCAATATATCTATGAAAAATGATGGTAAAATAGTTTCTGTAGCATTGTAATTTTTCTATATTCTCTAATTTTAACTGACAAATAAGTCTATATAACAAGATCAAAATAACTCCTAGTACCTAAAATAAACGAACTAACATGGCATCCACTTGAATTTGTATATGTGATGCTGCTTTTTAGGGGTAAGGGGAACAGGATTTGGAATCCTATTTCAGAGAAGTTTAGAAATGAGTAGCCATAAACTGATCCGACATCAGAGTGCTATAATGAGTCACAATCTTTTCACTAAAAGTTGCGAGAGTTACACCTAATAGAATATGGTTTTCAAGAAAATATCACTTAATTGAATTTTTTTTCAAGGTATATGGAGAGGCAAACCTGATAAAGAGTAATGTATTTTTACAAATACATATAGATTAACAAACAAAACCTATGATGTTCAACAGAACAGTTCCAACAGCCAGTACAAGCCCAATGAGCACCAAAGTTTCTTACTAATTCACGACTTGAGCTGCTTCAAAAGATTCTCAAAACTTTCAATCACCCAACATCAGGATCACAGGAAGCCACATAAATCATAGTTAGCCCCCAAAAAAGGGGCGCAAATGACAACCTTATAATGCGTTGA